CAGCGGAGGCAATCTTAGTTGCACCCTTTTGGCCTCGCCAGCCGTGGTTTCCAACCCTCCTGAGCATGGCGATAGACTCTGTGAAGCTACCCAACTTTCCAACTTTGATAACACAGGACGCCGGCAAAATCTGTCACCCAGATTTGAGCACACTGCACCTCACGGCGTGGAGGATATCCCCGAGATCAGGGAGATATTAGATAATTCCAGGAAGCCATCCACCTCCAAGTTGTATTCCGATAAATGGAAAAGTTTCCTTAAATTTACGGAATCCAAAGGACTTCAAGCCTCCCCGGCGTCTCTTTCCACTACGTTGCAGTTCCTTCGCTATTTATTTGATTTCAAGTTGTCAGTCTCTACAGTGAAAGTCTCCCTAGCGGCCATTGTTTCATTCCAGCCCAGAGACTCTCCTTCCTCTCGATTCTTTTCTCACCCCACGGTTAAAGCTTTTCTCAGAGGAATTACACACCTGCGTCCACCGGTAAAACCCATAGTACCCCAGTGGTCCTTACATCTGGTTCTGAATGCGCTTATGCGTCCTCCCTTTGAACCACTGGCTACCTGCTCACTTAAACTGTTGTCTCTTAAAGTTTTGTTTCTCGTTGCCATCACATCTGCCCGCAGAGCCAGTGAACTGGCTGCCTTAAGAGCCGACCAACCATTCCTACAATTTTTCAAGGATAAAGTTATCCTGCATACCGATATTTCCTTTCTTCCCAAGGTCGTTTCTGAGTTTCACCTGATTGAACCAACCATTAATACTTCCTACACTATTTTCTCAGCCTACCACCGATACCGAGCGCATGCTCCATACCCTCGATGTCAGAAGGGCGCTATCCTTTTATGTGGCCCGCACGAAGGAATTTCGCTTATCCCCAAGACTTTTCCTCTGTTATTTTGGATGCAAAAAGGGCCTTCCTGCCTCTCCTTCCTCAATTTCTCGATGGCTGATTACTACAATATCTCTAACCTATCAGCTCCAGAAGCAATCTCCTCCTGATGGCCTTCGCGCACACTCCACCAGGGCAGTGGCTTCTTCAACAGCACTCCTTCGGGGGATTGATTTATCTGACATATGCAGGACAGCGACATGGTCCAGAGTGTCCACATTTATCTCTCATTACCGGCTGGACACGAGGGCTAAGAGAGAAACGAGGTTCGGTAGAGCTGTCCTGTCATCTGCCCTTCAGTGACGGCCCTCCTTCCGGTAAGCAAGCTTGCTAGTCACCCTTTGTTGTGTGCATTCACAGAAGACCACGCTGAAGAAAGAAAGGTTACTTACCTGTAACCATGGTTCTTCAAGTGGTCATTCTGTGAATTCACACAAGCCCGCGCGACCTCCCCACTATCCGTCACTGTGCTAGCATTCTCAATTTATTCTAGCTGGCGGATAAATGGAACTGAGGCTAGGGCGGGCGGAGCATGCGCAGTACACATACTCCTAACTATGTTTCTTTTACAGAGCTCGAGAACGTTCCGAGGGACACGCGCAGGCGCTGACTTAACCCTTTGTTGTGTGAATTCACAGAATGACCACTTGAAGAACCATGGTTACAGGTAAGTAACCTTTCTTTCTCTCTCTAAATTACAAATCCCCGGATTCTGTGGGAGGAATCTGTGACATTTAACATTGGTTAAGAAACAGCTATAACTGTTTAGTGTACCTACACTTAGAGACCTAAGGAAAGAACCCTGGGGAAACAAATGGCAAACTCCTCTGAAGGAGCTTCAGCTACTAGTCTAAATATTCAGTTTGGGAGCCTATATTTTATGTGGTTCAAATTTTCCCTTTTTGCAATTTTTTGTTTCTTATCTTCTCATTGTTAGCAGTCTTAAGACTTACCAAAAACGTAACAACACCACAAGATATTCTATGCATAACGCTAACAAGGTAATGGCCAGAATCCAGTTGTCCATTCAGTTCACACCTGCTTAAGTGAAACATTGTAAATCATGCTGCTAGTTAACAAGGTGCTGGTCAGACTACTAATTGCCTAATTCTCATTTCTGGGAGTCCAGCCTTCAGGACCCAGTCCTTTTGATATCACTGTTGTTTTATCATTGTTAGCCATTTTTGAATTTCTGAGGAAAAACTAGAACACAAATATTATTTTTAAAAATATTCATAGCATAGATATGCTCACCAAAATGAATGGCGTGGTAGCAGGAAGCACGCTTTTGCTGGTATTCTTGCCATGTTTGTTGGCAGAAGGCTTTTGTAAAGCATCCAATGGAGCAATTAGATGTGCTGTTAGGAGGAAGGCCTGTGGCTCTATCCAGCTTTTTAAAAATTTAATAATGGACTCAATAAATCCTGATTTCAACTGTGATCATGTTTGGAGGGAGGGGAGGGGTACAGTGGTTAATCTTTCCTTCAGATGGCATATCCCTGAGAAAATGACCTCTGCCTCTGAGGTTCCTATTTGTGGCAAGAAGCAAAACATGAGAGTTGCCATATGGGTAATGTGTAGCTTTTCTGGTGTTATGGCTAGTTTAGTATATTTATCCTCGCATGCAACTAAGGATAAGGAGTTGGTCAGCTATGCTTCTGTCATCCCTAACCATTGGCCATGGTGGCTGGGGCCGATGGGAGACAGAGTCCAACAACATCTGGACAGCCACGCCTTCGCCAGTCTTAGTGTAGTACTGAGTAAATGGTGGCTGTTTGGCAAGAGTAGCTACATATTACACATCAACACAGTAACATTTCCCCAAGTTGGTTCGTTAAAAAGCAAAGCAACATGGGGAGACAGGGAGTGTGTTTGATGTCCTGCTTCCAGCTCTATGTGAAGAGGAATTTTTTTCATAAATTATAAATATGTACCTCGAATGTACTCACTCATTTCACTCACTAGCAAGGTTATGCTCAAAATCCTACAAGGTAGGCTTCAGCAGTATGTGGACTGAGAACGCCCAGAAGTACAAGCTGGATTTCGAAGGGGCAGAGGAACTAGAGACCAAATGGCTAACATGCACAGGATTATGGAGAAAGCCAGAGAATTCCAGAAAAACATCTACTTCTGCTTCATTGACTACGCAAAAGCCTTTGACTGTGTGGACCACAACAATCTATGGCAAGTTCTTAAAGAAATGGGAGTGCCTGACCACCTTATCTATCTCCTGAGAAATCTATATGTGGGACAGGAAGCAACTGTTAGAACTGGATATGGAACAAATGATTGGTTCAAAATTGGGAAAGGACTACAACAAGGCTGTATATTGACTCCCTGCTTATTTAACTTCTAAGCAGAAGACGGCATGCGAAAGGCCGGACTGGATGAATCCCAACCCGGAATTAAGATTGCCGCAAGAAATATCAAGAACCTCAGATATGCTGATGATACCACTCTGATGGCAGAAAGTGAGGAGGAATTAAAGAACCTCTTAATGAGGGTGAAAGTGGAGAGCGCCAAAAATGATCTGAAGCTTATCATCATCAAAAAAAAAAACACCACAAAAAAAAAAAAAAAAAAAAACCACTAAGATCATGGCCACTGGTCCCATCACCTCCTGGCAAATAGAGGGGGAAGATACGGACGTAGTGACAGATTTTACTTTTTTGGGCCCCATGATCATTGAAGATGGTGACAGCAGCCACAAAATTAAAAGACACCTCCTTCTTGGGAGGAAAGCGATGACAAACCTAGACAGCATCTTAACAAGCAGAGACATCACCTTGCCGACAAAGGTCCCCATAGTCAAAGCTATGGTTTTTCCAGTAGCGATGTATGGAAGTGGGAGTTGGACCATAAAGAAGGCTGACCGCCGAAGAATGGATGCATTTGAATTGTGGTGCTGGAGGAGACTCTTGAGAGTCCCCTGGATTGCAAGGTGAACAAACCTATCCATTCTAAAGGAAATCAACCCTGAGCAAGAGGAGAAAGGGATGACAGAGGACAAGATGGTTGGACAGTGTCATTGAAGCTACCAACATGAATTTGACCCAACTCCGGGAGGCAGTGGAAGACGTGCTCTGGTCCATGGATTCAAATGACTAAACAACAACTTTGAATTCCATAGAGCAGGGGAATAAAGGAGGGCCTGGCGTGCTCTAGTCCATGGATTCCAATGACTAAACAACAACTTCGAATTCCATAGAGCAGGGGAATAGTATTATCCCCAAAATCTATAGTATAGGGGATTCCAATTAGAAAACTGGCTAGTAAGGAAGATATATACAGGACCACCCCCATCTCTTCTGTTCATAATGGGCCTCCTCATGACATTGTTTAAGAGAGAGTCAGTGAGAGAGAGAGATGAGGGAAACAAAAGGAAAAAAAACCTCAGAAAAGTGGTATCCAGGCCCTTTTATACACTTATGCTAATAGTTAATTCCTCACATATGGCTGGTTTTGCAAGACATGAGCTGCTGAGGCCTTGGATGAGAATCACAGAAACAAAAGGGCCCCCACAAAACTTAGGGCTTTCCTGGGAACCTATGTTGCCTTTCTTCCGTTTCCATAAGCTTACTCCAAACAAAGTCATGGCATGATACTTCAAAGGGAACTGCTGGAACAAACAGCCTGTAGTTAATTTCCAGCTTTCATTCGCTTGCTGGCTGGTGGATGACACATAACATCATTGGAGCTATTTAAATCACAGCATAAGCACAGCAGATATTGTTTCTGAGGCTTTTAATTGCAATGTTTATGTTTTGCAATGTGTCGGTTCCTGTCGCCTTCAATGAACACTGAATGATCTAATCGCTGTCTCCTAAATGAATCTATATTAGCTCCATTAGAAGAAACCTTTAATTAAATGCACACACATATGTAGGCAAAAAAGGAGCAGGCAATATTATCTGTTAAATAACTGAACAAAATCATATGGCGGGTAGAATCATTTCATATCACTATGCCTTGACAAGCTGAGTAGATGTTAGTCTGCATTTAGGGTTTTTTTGTTGAAGGGGGTGTTGAAATGCTTTGTTCAACCTTCAACACATACGCCAAAGTTGTTATATTTACCTGTGTTTTACTGTTGTTTCCTCTTGTTTACAGAAAAAAACAATGGACGTTTATAGAAGAGAGGTATTTGTTTTTCACTTCTAAAATAAATATTAATCCATGACTGCTGTCTGTGTCAATAATTGTAAATATGCACCCTCCAATAAAAGTATCATCTTCCTGGATTTTCGATAAATGTCTTATTGTAGCATTCCACAGACTACTCTGCCACATACCCTCATATTTGTAATGTTCAAGCTAAGTTTGGATTGATATTTGCTTGTTTTATTTTATTGACATTTATGTACATCAGGCCCAGCTCCAGCACTACTATCTTTTACAGCCAGAGAGTTAATATTCTTGTGATCTACAATTAATATTTAGTCCCAGAGTGGACAACTTCCGGAAGTATAAGGGCTGTACATATCTCCAGATGTTTTGACTCTAAAAGCCACCCACATCCTGATTTTTGCTATAATTTGACATGCTTCAAGGCCTAGTGATGAGCTTTTTCATAACTAGAAGTGAGCAGTTAGTCTTCTTCATCTTTGCCTTGGCCCCAACTTCATTCTGAAGTTGTTGAAGATACTGTATTTTTCCGTTTATAAGATGCCCCCGTTTATAATGCGCCCCCCCCTTTTCTAACCCCAAAATTAAGAAAATGTAGCTTTGAGTATTCAGCCTCTGGGCTCAGAACGCTCAGACATTATGAATTTCTGTTGCATCTGAGCCTACAGGCTCCACCTCCAATGAGGTGTGCTCCAATTGGTTTGTTAAGCATCAGCTGACATCAGTTCCATAAAGCTCCTGATTGGAGGAAGCTAAGTCTCTGGACTGTAGGAAGCTAAGCCTCTTGACAGAAGGAAGCCTGTTTGCAGAGGCAGTGTTTTGTTCTCTCCATGTTCTCGGTAAGCCTCGTGACAGAAGGAAGCCTGTTTGCAGAGGCAATGTTTTGTTCTCTCCATGTTCTCAGCTAACATCTGTGTAAAAGACACCCCTCAATTTTAGTGTAATGGTTTTAGGAAAAAAGTAGTGTCTTATACATGGAAAAATACGGTACTTCTGTGTCTGAAGCAGACAATACTTCTTTGCTAGCCAACTTGGTAAATGATATGCTTAAATCAAAATTATTTAACAATTAATACTTTTTTACCCACTAATCACTTCATTTAATAGTTGCACCAGTTGTATTATATTCCTTTATGGTGTCACTTACATAACAGTTTGTGTCTAATTTCCACAATTTACCCACATGTGAGTCTATTTCCTGAATGAGTTAAAACCACTCCTTAAATATCACACTTACTTTGAAAGCCTTGTTAGGGCCACTATACAGTAGATTGGTTCCAGCTTGAAGACACATAAAAACAACTTAATTTATAGTTCAGAAATGTGCCTTCTGGATACGTTTAGACACTTTGTATGTGTTCATGGAAAACTACTGTGAGCTTCTTGGTGGATAAAACGTCCACTCTATATAGAATAATATATCATAATCTTAGAATTGTAGAGGTGGAAGGGACCCTATGGATCATCAAGTCCAGCCCCTATCAAGGAGGCCCACTGGGGAATCAAACTCAACCTTTGACTCCATAGCCAGATACCTAAACCACTGAGCTATCCAACAGTTGATAAACTCAGGTGTCTGCTCTTCTACTAACATAATAATAAAATATATTTTTCATTTGTAGATCATGTACTACCAGCAGGCAATCATGAAGACCAGAGTAAAATCATCTGTCTCTCTGGGAGGGTAAGTTCTGACATCCTTTGTGCCTGTTGTCAGATTAGTGAGGAATCCAGTGCATTCTGTGAAGTGACTGAAGAGAACCTGTGCGGTCTAGTGGGAAGAGGGTTATAATGGGACTTGAAAGATCTAAGTGCTTGGTCCCCACTCAGCTGTGAATCTCACTGGGTGACTTCAGGACAGTTACATCCTCTCAGCCTGACCTACATCACAGAGGTTATTGCATGGAAAAGAGAAGGAAGAGAAACATGTGATTCACCCTTTGCTAACTTTGAGGAAAGTCAGGATATAGATGTATCAAATAAAGGATTTTTTAAAAAACCATAAACATGGTAAAGAGATTTTGTTTCCTATTTTTCCAACTGTGTGCAGATGTGATATAGCTTCCTTTGTAGAGAAGAAATGTTTATAACTGGAAAAGACCAATGCTTTGAGTAATTTGCTGCTATTCCATTCTGATTATTTTTTACTTTATATATGCTGCTCATTGTATTACTCATTGTTTTGGGGATAGTGTGTGCGTTTGCGCTGCAGCTTGCTTTAAATTATTATAAATGGTAGGAGATCTCTCTCTCTCTCTCTCTCTCTCTCTCTCTCTCTCTCTCAACATTGAAACAAGGGCCGCTCACAGCAGCACAAGGCCCTGTTTGCATCTGCCTCACCCGTCTCCACATCCACTTCCTTCCTAGAACAGACCTTGTGTTTGACTGATCTCTCATTTTTAAAAAGAAGATGCTTGCCTAGATCAAGCTAGAAGAAAGCTAACCATGCATCTTTCCGCCTGGCACCCAAGCTTTCCATAGAAAGCTAGCTTTTGATGTGGGAATACATTGAAAGATGAGGTTCCCTTGCCTGGACTTCAAAATGCTTACAGTCCAGGAAAGGCTAGGCCATATGGTATTCTGCGATGTGTAACTATCCTACAGTCACACGGCACTTCTACGTAGATGTTCATCATAACTATTTTGAGGCAGTCTGCAGTTCTGCTATCACACCTTTGCAACAGCATGAGCGGGCCCAGTGGAAAATTCTCAAGTGTTTGCATTTGCATAGCAGCAATTCTAGAACAGTACTCAGTATTGCAAAGTTACCATTTTTTTAATCTATTTATTTAATTAATTAATTTATATCCCGCCTATCTGGTCGGATGAGGACCACTCTAGGCGGCAAACAGTCATAAAATAATACAATAAAAATGTAAATAGACAATTCTAAGTGTTAAAAACACTACATTACATTACACGATACACAAAAAAAACAGTAAGAAAGGAAAGAAGGGGGTCAGGGGTTATGTGATCGGAAGGCTTGACGAAACATCCATGTCTTTAATTGCTTCTTAAAGATACCCAGCGAGGGAGCCCCGCGAATCTTAGGAGGTAGATTGTTCCAGAGGCGAGGAGCCACTGCTGAGAAGGCCCGATTTCTTGTCTGTTCACCATTTCCTTTATTTCCTTTCTGTTTTTTTCTGGTCAAAGCCTTGTCCACGAATGACTGTCCTGTTTTCACCTCCAATATTTTCAGATTAGTGAAGTACAGTGACCAGTTCTGCTCCAATGATCCCATCATTTCAGGATGCCTCCCCAACAACCCATGGGTCTCAGACGACGTGGATTTTTGGGAGCTCAATGCAAAGCTGTACGTACTGCATTGGTTTTACCTTTGCCAGGTAGATGGATTGTAGTTTTGTGGTGGTTTTATACTGCCCATCTGGCAGCCAAGGCCACTCTGGGCATTTTACAACGACTAAACAATAACAGCAACATAATCACAAAACAACTCAACAACATCCATAAAATATAAAGGTGCAAAACAAAAATACCAGAAAATACAAAAAAAAGTATAATAAAATAAAATAAAATAACATGAAGAACATGGTGGTAGATTAGATGTTGCATTATCGGAAGCACTATTGCATCAGGATGTTTTTTGATCTGGGAAGGCCTGTCTAAATAGCTACGTTCTTAGTAGTTTTTGAAAGGTGTCCAGTTAAGGGACCCGGGGGATTTCGGGCGAAAGGCTGTTCCACAATTGCGGAGCAACTGCCGAGAAGGTCCAATTTCTGCTGGTAGTTTTCTGGGCCTCTCTTGGGGTCAGAACTCTCAGCCGCCTGCCTGAGATGATCTTATTGGATGGGAAGACCTGACAGGAAGGAGACACTCAGCTAGATATCGATATCCTAAACCGTTTGGGCCTTTACAGGTTAATACCATTGCCTTGAAGCTGGAACGGAAGAGAAGAGGTAACTAGTGCAAGGCAGCCAAGGTGGGGGAAATACGCTGGTATTTTCTAACCCCACTCAGTAGTCTGGCCGCCACATTCTGGACCTGTTGCAATTTCTGTAGCAGTCCCAAGGGCAGCCCCACGTAGAGGCCATTGCAGTAGTCTAATCTCGACAGCAGCCTCATATAGATATTAAATAGCACTAAGGAGATGACTGATCCCTGTGGGACTCCACAACTGAGAGTCCACAGAGCGGACAGCATCTCCCCAAGCTGTACTCTCTGAGGATGGTCCTCCAGGAAGGACTGGAGCCAGGCCAAGGTCTGACCACATTTTTTCTCCTTTTTTCGTTGCTTTTTCTTTCCTGCTTACATGTTAGATAAGCAGGCTTATCTTGTCTTCAGGAGACAGTCATGCCCATCCCTCTAAAGCAGGCTTGTCCAACCCGTGACCTGAGGGCCGCATGTGGCCCAGGTCAACTCGTAATGCGGCCCAGTGCAATTTTTTATTTTTAAAGAAATTCCAAAGTTTCAAGTTACACTGCCGGCGCTTGCGGCCGGAATGTGGCTGGGGCATGTCACAACAGTAGAGGGGGAGAGAGGGAAGGAAGGAAGGAGTGGGAGGGGATGGGACGGGGGGCTGTGTGACTGCATTGCGCCATCCCCGTCAATAGGTGGACCCCCTCCCGGCCCCATAAAGCCACCGGAGTCAAAGCTGGCAGCCTCTGCCCTCTGAGATCGCAGCTGCCAGTAAGCGCGCTTGGAGCGGGGCTGCGGAGGACGGCTAGGACTGCCCCCCCCCCATCCGGCCCAAACCAAATGTTTGTGCGGCCCAAACCAAATTTTCATCTTCTAATGTGGCCCAGGGAAGGTGAAAGGTCGGACACCCCTGCAAAGGTTCTATGATACAGCAGTTTATTGCTTTCTTGCTTCCTTGGTCTAACTCTTCCCCCCCCTCCCGCCTGCTTATGTAAAGTGGAAGAGTGGCGGGAGGGTGGAGGGAGCAGTAGGTGTGGCACCACAGGGCTCTTGCTTGGCTCTTCAGTTCTTCTTTTAAAGGGGTGGCAGAAATGAGAAAGAGCCCTGTGGCACCTTAAAGATGTGCACCTTTTATTTGGCAAAAGATTCCATGCACTGTAGCTGGCTTGTTCAGATGCTGAATTCAGAGTGTTTAAGGTACAAAATGACTCTTGGGTGGTTTTGCTACACCTCGTAACTCAGGAATTTTCTTTCAAGACATCCTTTAGAGGGATAGAAAATAGGCCATCAGAGTGATGGGATTTTCTTCTTCAGTTTCCACTCACATGTAATATGACTTTCCCTAGAAAACAGGGAGGGAAATTATGATGTGAAAGAGCCATACCTTGGACTATTACTTTTAAAACGTAATTTGCTGCTATTGTCTTATATTTTGTTTTTAAAAGTTATATCACTATGCTCATTTATTGTGGGAGGAAGGAAGGTGTATTGGCACTAGCCTTGCCTAATATAAAATACGGCTGACCAGGCCACAAGGACCCGCCTGCCGCTCACAGCAGCAGCACAGAACCCCGTTGGCCGTTGTTTGTTCAGTCTCCGTGCACATTTTCTTCCTGGATTAGAGAGTGACACAAGGAATCATGACACATTAGTCTCATATCAAGAAGTGTGGAAGAGCAGCAAGAGAGGGATCCCTGTGCTGGTATGAGCAGAGTGTGATGCTTTTCGAAAAATAAAAATTGTAACTTCCACCACCACCTTGTATAGTAGTTACGATAATCAACAACAATCTCCATTTCCCAAAGAAAACATGAAACTTATGAGTAAATGGTATGCAAAAGTAATAATTTTGCCTGTCAGCAAATTATTTTGCAAAAGGAATTTTTTATGTCCTCATTACTTCAAACAATAACTCATCACAGATAATGTCATTAATTGTAATGGCCTGTAAAGTTGTTTGCTGTCAATGAAAATGAAAAATACCAACAGAGTGAAGCAAATCTTTGGTTAAAGTGGTCCTAACAAATGCAACAGTACATACATTGTCAGTTACTTTACTGGCCCATCTCCAGCAGCTCATTCTGACATACTAGAAAGCAAAGGAGGAAACATCTTTGCAGGCAGACCAGTTGGGTATCCATCTTGGGAGAAAAAGATTGAAAACGTAAGACCGGAAGGACAGTTTGAATCTCCCAGGAGCTGGTTTTAGAGAAAAACAGCAGCACTAATGTATAATTAAACTTTTGCAGGGTGGAAACCCCCACGAAAGCACGAGTGGAGAGATGGGCCCTTAATTTCAGTGAGCTGATGAGGGATCCCAAAGGCCGACAGAACTTTCAGCTGTTCCTCAAGAAAGAGTTTAGTGGTGAGTGTGTCACTGTTTTTGCTTCCATCTTTCTAGTTCTCCTTTGAAATGTTGGAGGACACAGATGTCGTATTTGGCTGCCCATGATTAATTTCATCTGCAGAAATCCATTTCCTCTCTTTACAACAGATGAGGTGATGTGGGATAGCCGTCTACACACAGAGAGAGAAGACAGAATTATCAGTTACAGCATTTTCAGGTGGAATATTTGTCTAGAAAGCTATCAAGTTACTCAGAACATAAGATAGGAATGCGGATAGCAACACACTTGGGGCCATAAAGGAGGTTCTGTGTTGTATTAAAAGGACTTAAAAACACACAGCTCCTGCACTTTGCAGTATTTCTAGCTGGATGTTCACAAAGAAACAAGAGAATGAAATAATATGGCCAGATTTTGGGGGGGGGGAGGGAAGCAGGGCTCCCGTGCTTTTAATGTTTGTGTAGTAGAGGGAATTCTAAAAAGGGCAGCTTGTTGTGGGCAGTGGCACTGATGAATTGGTAGATACCGCACCTGCATAAGCTCCCTCTCCAAGAAGGCTGTTGAAGGTCCTCCTTCCATAGCTGAGAATTATACTAATAGGAGTATTGTAGGAGCTGTTTGGAGTATTGATTTACAAGCTTGAATACGGCAATACTATTTCTTGTTCCCTTTTCATTCAGGGGAAAATTTGGGATTTTGGGAAGCTTGTGAAGATCTGAAGTGGGGAGACCAATCCAAGGTGAAAGAAAAAGCAGAAGAAATTTACAAGTGAGCATAATATAGAGTTACATAAATCTTCCTGGTGTCTTATATGAAGTTGTGCTGTTTAGCACTGCTCCTACCCTGCAATCAAAAATGTAGCTCCTTAACCATCTGAAACTGCTCCAGTGAACAGTGCCACTGCTGATGCGACCAAGGCAGAAAAGAACAATATTTATGACATAGGGAACTCTTACAATGTCAGTTCATGTCAGCAATGACAAGACTTAGCTACAGGTCTGTGGATGGTGGATAGCAGACCAGCCTACAAAGGTGTGGGTTAACATCGATGACAGATATAATTTTTGAGCTGTCCTGAATTAAGGCAGCAGTGCTAGCATGATGCAGGAATGCAGCCTGCAGCAGGACTGTTGGAAAATTTTGGTTATTCCTTTTTAGTTAGCAGAATAAGAAATGTGAAGATATCAGCCTAGTTTCACTACTGTCCTTCTCACAGTGACTTTGTGTGTTAAAAACCACTCTAGAATCATTTAAAGTGGAAGAAAGGTTTCTTTACTTGCAACTGGGATCAGTAGTTACTATCAGAAGAATAAAAGGAAAAAACGAAGATGTTAGAGTCTCTGACATTTGGGAGTGACATCCTCCATATCTGCTACATGGTGGAAGGTCAGAGAGAGAGAGATTAACAAATAAAAAGTAGAGAAGCAAACAAACAGAAAGAGAGGAAGAGCAAGCCAGAGGTCAGGTGGGGGGAATAGTTTAGCAGTAGGTTAGTGGGAAAGGAGAGAATCCCTTCAGGTTGTAAAAGCCTCCCTTCCACTATTTCCCAGTGTTAGAAAGCATACAAGATCGTCAACAGGGATTTTACCCATTATTGATTTATTGATTGATTTCATTTGTATCCCGCCTGGTCTATACCAGTGGTTCTTAACTTTTGTTACTCAGGTGTTTTTGGACTGCAACTCCCAGAAGCCTTCACCATCAGCTCTGCTGGCTGGGGTTTCTGGGAGTTGCAGTTCAAAAACACCTGAGTAACAAAGGTTAAGAACCACTGGTCTATACAACCACTCTAGGTGGCTTCCAGTATAACATAAGCAAATAATAAAATAACACAAAATTAAAACTGAATAGATTCAGTGACGGCACTATAACATGATGAGGAAGCACCACCACCATTAAAGTCCTGCCCGTACTGCCTTATGTGTAGGGGTTGGGTCCCTAAAGGCTTAGGGAAGGGAAGCCCTGACAGAAAATCACTGACCATATCTGAACCAAAGCCAGCAGTTGCCAACAATGTCTGTCCTCAGGTTAGGGGCAATGAGTAAAATGTGCTGCTTATATACCACCCAGTGGAACTTAAAACACTCTCTGGGTGGTTTACAACATAATTATGCAGGCTACACATTGCCCCTTGCCCAGTGAGCTGGTTACTCAGTTTACTGGCCTTGGAAGGATGGAAGGCTGAGTCAACCTCAAGCTGGTTACCTGGAATTGAACTCAGGATATGAGCAGAGTCTTGACTGCAGTAGAGCAATTTATCCACTACACCACAAGGCTCTCCCTCCTTCTCCTCCCCCCTACACTAATTTCAGAAACTGGATTCATTTCAAAATAATTGATTAGCAGTTTAAAATAAATACCAATAGCTGCTAATTTGCTTTCTGAAATTCAAAACTCAGTGAATGCCATATCACCCACAGATTTTAAGGCTTGACTCGTAATGTTTAGGCTTGACCCTTTGGTCTGACTGCCCTGCACCATCAGTGCTGAGAAAACATAATCTGTCATAGCCATAATCGTAATCAATAATGAGTTATTTTGTTGATGGGAAATAGAATATTTCTTGGAACTTGGAAGAATCTGCTTGAATTCTACTTTACTATATTTCTGCACTTTATTCTTTTTATTTCAGAACTTTCCTGGCACCAGGAGCAAGGCGCTGGATCAATATAGATGGAACTACTATGGGTATCACTGTCAGAGGCCTCAAACACCCTCATCGCTACGTCCTAGATGCTGCGCAGACTCATATTTACATGTTGATGAAAAAGGTTTGTCATGTTGCTTATCAATTCTAATTGTCTTTTCTACCTTCCTATAAGTCTTCTAGAAAATTTATCTGAAACAAATAATATTTTCATGTCGTCCCAAATCCACCCTTGGAGGATCATTTTCCTTGGTTTGAAGAAAACACCAACTTCTACCTGGTTCGGAAGAAAGAAAAATAGCTGTGGAGCAGCTGCTTCTGGAGTTGGCTCAGGCCTGATTTTGACTGTGCAAAAATAACCAAAGTTATTGTGTGTGAAGAAGGAGGAACTGATCTTCTGCACAAGAAGATGCTTTTATCAGACTTTGCCATTTACTGTTGAAGTTCTGGATTTCCTTGGCAGTTTCCTAGAGGCTTGTCTATGTAGGTGGTTTTTGATCAGGCTGGTGCAGGCTGGATACGGTTGCTTGGGGTTGTTTAGAGATGTGATATGCCATTTGGTGCAATCCTTGCATCCAAATAGCACATCAGATCTTAAGCCACCCTCTATGGTCCAACTCCTTCTGCTTGGAATTTCTGTTATTGTGAAGTGGCTTAATAAGTCTCCTGTTTTAGGGTATTGGTAAATTGAACACTTCCTCTGCTCCTTGACTGAGGGGCGTAGAAAGTGGGGGGAAATGTTCAACTACAGTAGACCATTGCTGATGCACTTCACTTCTAACTTTTTAAAAAATCTTTGCCTTTTCTTAAAGGGCTGGCTAAGAAACTGCTTGCAACTAGACCCACTTATTAAGCCGCTTCACTATATTGGAAATTTCAGCTAAAAGGAGCCTTGACAACCAGAAAGCTTTCTTTTGGCCTGTTTCCAGCACTCACATATCCTGGCAATGGGTCAGAGTTATCTTACCCATAAACCCCCCCCCAAAAAAACAAGCACATCCGGAAGCTTAGGTATGGATAGGACCATTCAGGGCCAGGCGGAGTTGGTTCACTCCAGCAAAGACATCATCTGATTACCGTCTTTAGCAGCAAACCAACACATCCCTGCAGCGGACCAAACAGTGGGCTAGACACCCATGTAGTCAGCCCCTATCTATGTCATAGGATTTCTACCTTTTCTGATCTGGGCTTTCCTTTCCTCCTAGGGCCCCTTTCCCTCTTTGCTTCTAAGAACAATACCAGCTTAAGCAGTGACCTGAGTGACACAGGAAATCATTTTCAGTCACTGAGGAGCCACAAGTCTGTAAAATTGTGGTCTGTATAGACAGACATATGACATGAGCACTCAGCTCCATGTAGCTCCACAGCACTTCCATACGAAAAGTCAGAGCCACTGTACTTCTCCTAACCTCAACTAATCTATCTACAGTCAGTCACAGCTGGGGAAAGTGCCCAGCAAAGGTGTTTACCTAGCAATAGCTGCTGGTAATGAATAAACGGTACGTGATGAGAGTCCACAGAACAGAGCCTTTCCTTATTTCCAACCATAAGTTACTAAACCATACACTTGAAAAGTGGGGGAGAGGAGCTAATAGCATGTTTAATCCTTCCTAGGGTAAGAAGTTTCCCAACACTTACTGGATGCTTTGGCATTTGAGAAAAATGACTTAATAGGCTCCAGCTTGGTTGTGAATTCTAGCCACATGGGATTAATTTAGCCACTGTTTTCCCCCAATGCATACATGCTTAATGAGAAGAAGAGATGCTCCCTTGTACCACTGCATGAGAAGCTGCGCTTTCTCATCTCCCACTCCCAGCCTCTTTGACTCCTAAACAGCTGTAAGGAGAGATTATGTTAATTAGGGTGCTTGTAATCTATAACTACCAGTTTCCTTTTCTTCTCCCCAGTAGGATTCTTATGGTCGTTATTTAAAGTCTCCAGTATACAAGGAAATGTTGTCCAAGGCAATTGTACCACAAGAAGTTGTGAAAAAAAGGCAAGTTGCTCGGGGTTTAATTATGGAGTGTTTGCTATGTATTTTAATGAGCGCCCTAAAAAAAAAAAAAGAGTGCCAGGGCCTCAGCAAAAATTACTGTGATTTAGATATTTGCACAATTTAAACTAAGTCGTTCACTAGAGAGGAAATGTGTGGTTTAGCAGCTTCCAGATGTTTAACTCCAGGAAAGGAATAGGTTGGCCATTATGGCAGGAAAAAAAACTTTTACTTTAACAACATCTTATATACGATCTGACTATCAGCCTACAGATTCTTTCCTTTCGTGGAGGAACTTTAACGCATAGCTGATCAGAAATAGCTGCAACTTGTACTGCTGATGGTTGCCATGGAAACTATCTTGCCATAGCCCAAGTGGAAAGTTCTGACTGCTGATGTATTGACATACAAAAGCAGCAGTAGGAATAATAAAAATAATAAAATACGTAGTGCATACATACATTACACATTTCTTTATCTGTAATATTTCCATACTGCTTCTTATTTGAACAAAAGCTTGAAGCATTTTACAGCACCATGAAGCATCTTTGCTTTTTCCAAAGATCAGGACATGCATTTTCTCAATTTTCTTACAAACAACTTGTATGGTAGGCCTTTCAGTTACCCTCACATAATTTGTTGTTATTGTTGTTCTGTGTCATCAAGTTGGAAATGACTCTCAGCAATCCTAATAGGGCTTCTTAAGGAGTGTTTTCACCTGTTCCATCCTCCATGAGCTTCCATGACCAAACAGGAATTCAGACACAGGTCTCCTGAGTCCATGCCCATCACTCTATCAACTACACCACACTATACCAAGTATAATACCATCATCATCAAACCCAAGGTTAAGAACCAGTGAACTACATCACACTATACTAGGTATAATACCATCATCGTCTCAGAACTGCAGAGCTTAGGGCTAGCTGATGTTGCTCAGTAGCTCTGTGACTTGGTACCTGGCTGTGGAACCAGGGGTTTGGGGGTTCCACTCCCCACTGTGCATCCCAGGAGTAAAGCCAGCCTGTCCAGCCTTGGGAAAACTGCCTGGTTCCAAATTGGCCCCAGAAGAAGGAACTGATAAAACACTTCTGAGTACTCATTAACCAGAAAACTCTGGAAAGGACCACTGTATGTTGGAATCAACTTGACGGCATGCAATTATTATTTATTATAAACAGGGTCTCCTAAAGCCCCCTGACTTGATGGCATAGGTAAGATTTGCAGAGACAAAACAATACCACAAATGATGTCACTTATCAGTAAAGACTGTATAAGATAAAAGGTGGCTGAGGCTACTTTGGACAAGAAAACCAACAATCCCTTTTTAACACTGCCCCATTCCTTACCGCAAGATTTCATGAAATCAGGTTTGGAATCCTTTATATTAGCCATTTATGATGATTACATATTAAGTAAACACATTGATTCTGTTCAAAGAATTAACTAATGTTCTGTTTGCACCACGTTTTGATGGTAGTTTCGTTTGCATCTCCACTATATTTTCAGATTTGTTTTAAAGCCCAAAGATATAACTTATTCCTTCTGAGAAGAATGCTTCCTTGAAATTTCTCTAACATCTTTCAACACCTAAGGGTACAGAAAGACACAATTAAAGTCTAGTTTATAAGCATCCATGGTATGTTTGATCATAATGTACATTTTACTCTCAAGGTGTGAGTTCTGGGAAAGAATAACAAACATTCAGCCTGTAGCAAAAACTGGCTGTGCTTTGTACTACATTGGCTTACTCCTACAATGCCATGAAGCTATCTCTCCCTATTCCTCCCCCCCCCCGGCCGCTGTTTTGCAACTCTTTTTTAAATTCTTCTTTTTATAACAGAAAGGATGAGCAAATAAGTTAGTAAACATACGTGGTATTTTACAGCAATTATAAGGTGTGCATTGCTCTGTCAGAGGCGTAGATTCACAGACATAAAATTTAGACATGAAGAACTTGGCTTGTGTACTAAGGGAATTTTAGAGGTAGATACGTATCATATTTAGATTTTAAAACACTGTAATTAATTGAAATACATTTTCATGCACCAGGTGTGGGAAGGAGAGGATTGAAACAGCAGCCAGTTTTCCCATTGGCCTCCTTCTCTCTTCCTCAGCTATAATTAGCTGGAATGGCTTCAGATACAATGACTACAAACTCCTTCACATCAATTCAAGCAATCACTTTGCCTGAACCGATCAATGCAAATGCATTCAATTCCAAAAATGTAGAAGCCCCAGTAGTGGAGGGGGGAAAACCCTACAGATTAGGGTAGAAAAACTCTGTGTTGATTCACACTGTGAAGTCAACTGAAAATACTGTAATGCAAATCTGACCATTCCAGTCCTGGTTTCCCATTTTATTTGTCCACATAGTCACACTCTCAGCCCTCCAAGCCATCCCTTGAGGAGAAAGTTTGTATGTGTTACATCTCTAGTCTGAAGTTAATCTGCTCTCTTTATACCTCTGAACACTTTTAGGAGAGAGAGAGAGAGAGAGAGAGAGAGAGAGAGAGAGAGAGAGTGTGTGTGTGTGTGTGTGTGTGTGTGTGTGTGTGAGAGAGAGAGAGAGAGAGAGAGAGAGAGAGAGAGAGATTGGCCAAGGTAGTGAAATGGACAGCTTAGATCTTAGGCAGGAATCTTACATCTTAGAAGATAAATAACTGCCAGACATATGTAAAACGGCAAGCAAGATTCAGAGAAACAATTTTAAACAGTGAAGCAATCAGGGGGCCAGATGGGTTAAGCTACCTTGTACTGTGAAAAAGCAGCAAATAAAAACTTTATATAATAAGCAATGAAGATTTTTTTCCTGCTTCTTGCTTCCCCTCTGCTGTTTTTTTCAGCTGGGCTTGTATCTGCTTTGTGTCTGGTGGGCTGAGAAGGAAGCAGTGGGTCCCAATAATAGTGCAGCCCTTCTTCTTTTACTTCTCAACATCCCTAACCTACCCTTTGTAGCCTCTCTTTTTAAACACTTGGGGTATTTCTTTCAAGGGTTAGAAACAATTACTAGTGATGTTACCAGCAGAAAGATTTTGGCTTTAATCCCCAGATGAGTGCATAGGCTAAAATCCTTGGGTTCTCTTTAAGGAGAAAGGTGGGATACAAATGTTTTAAATAAATAAATAAATTCCGTAGCAAGTCACAACTAGAATAGACTCATTGAATCAGTGGGAATTTGGTGAGTCAACTCCTCTGTAAGTTCCCTTGATTCAATAAGCCTACCTAGTTGTGAGTTACTACTGGAGTTTAGCCATGGAATGTTAGCTGATGGCTCTATGGTGAATTCAGATAAAAATAGGGAGGGGCCATCTCTGCTTAGTGGCCTGTAGAATATCAGTGGGGGAGGGGTTAATGTCATTGGTTTGAATAACGCCATTTGCTTAGAATAGGGGGAGAGAAGGATTGAAATAAAGACGTTCCCATCTCCTTTGCCTTATACATTTCAATCATGTACTGCTACTCATGCTTGTTGAAGGTTTTCAGGATGTCACATGAAGCAATGACATGCAATATGAAATTAGATTTCAAGTTACCATGTTAGGCCTGAAATTTGCCTTAATCTTATAAAATGAAATTGTTCATTTTTTATATAATTTGGAGCAGTAGACCTCAGTCTGTCTGCCAAGATATTGGTAAATACTCTGGCGCCCTTGATTAATCATTGGGATAGAATGTAATGAGTCAGTACCATCAGGATCTTTGCCAAGTTTCAAGATTAGAATAACTTTGGAAAGTAATGTTCTTGTGAATTGTGTCTGTTTCATCTTATACCAGGTGTGCATCTCATAGCTATTGCCTATCATATCTAGAAGTCTCTAAAGTGATAATTACTTCCTTCCTACTTCCTTCATAGCAAACAACTGTTACCCAAAACTTCAATATAACAATATTCTTATAGTGAATCTACTTCATCTGTATTCAACATGGCCAAAAACTTGAAAGAGAAGAAGGAAAGAATGGGGAAGAACCACTATATTTACCAAAAGAGAGCAATTTCTCAGGACAATAGAATTCATTCCCAGTGGATATTGTTAACAATTCGGCCGTTATTATAATTTGCAAGGAAAGAGACAAAAATGTAGTAGTATGAAATTTCATATTCCATCACTGATTTCATATGTAACGTGCATATATCATTTAAACAGCTCTAAGGATAGCTCTGTAAGTTACAGTTGTCTGGCTCTGGAGCCAAACATTGGGAGTAAGATTCCCTGCTGAGCCTTATAAAAGAAGAGATAGCCTTTGTGGCCTTGGGCAAGCTGCAAAGTCCCAGGGCACTCCAGAAGAAGGAAATAGTAACCCACATCTGAATATGCCTAGGAAACCCTAGAAAGGGACATCAGAAGTTGGAATTGATTTGACAGCACATAGTTATTGTTATTGTAATAGGAATGCCCAATTTCACAATTCCCTTCCTATTGGTTGATTATAAAAGGGCCAGTTTGTGCAACAAAATAAAAGTCTAGTTCTTTGGCCACCAGCTAGAGAACAGAAAGCTCAGACTAAGGGCTCCTTTCAACTTCAACAACACAAGTTCATAATGCCAACAGAATTTGTGGTAGTGGGTTAAGTCATACGGTTTGAAAGCATATTGGTATGAGCAAAAGCCAAAGAAAAGCAATTTCATATTTTGATCAAAGTTCCAACTTGGAATTTTGATGCCTTTTTTTTAAAGATCTGCTGTAATATGTAGGACATGGTGTTAGGTGGCTCAGTCTTCAGTTTTATAGCAAAAGGTTGTGATATGCATATGTCCAAGGTATCTTTCAGTTTCTCCAGGTAGCTGAGTAGAACATTATATTTTAAGTATGTGGGCTATAACTGAAGGAAAATCATCCTTTTCCCAAATCAAGGATGCTGGAATGGCAGGAAGCATAACTGAAATATTGTTGAGAAAACAGTTTTATGACTTTTCAGTTTTGCAACCAGAGGGTCACTTCAGTCATGTATTTCTGCTCTGTGGTTAAGCTGAGCTACCACCCTACTTGGGAAAAGTTTTAAAGCAGGTCAGTCAGAAAACCAGGATCCATAATTCTAGAAATCATTGGCCTTATTATGTCCATACAAGAAGCTTCTCATTCAAAAAAAAAAAACCTGAAATTTTTGAAGACCTGACTGTCATCAACCTGATAAGTAATCTAATACCCAGAAAAATGTACATGGCTTCTTTCCAGAGGCCATCATTTTCATTTGGAGGTTGGAGAATTAAAGATTAAAGTTTCATTTTTGCAGTATCCACTGTGTACTGATAAACATGTTTCAAGGGCGAAACAGATATACTAAAGTCATGTCATATAGGTGACGGAGACCAGCTGTATAGAAATAACAGAGTACAAAGTTTGAGGAAGTGGCCAGCTGCCGTCTTATAACCATGAAAACACATCTGTGACTGTGTGTAGGTTGAAGAGCAAAGGATACCTTTTTGCTTGTCTCCTTGTAGGTAGACCAGAATTCAGCTGTCAAGCTTAGTAACAGCAGTGTTAGTGTCTGTTGTTGTTATGCTTTGGTATGGATTTGAGATTGCAATTTTGTAGAATCAGTTATTATGTTCTAGAAAAGGGGTTCGTTTGTCCAGAGATTTTTTTTTTACATAGCAACGCAGATGTTACTACTTCTAACAGTAATTGCTAATTTCAGCCTGCCTCTTCAAGAAATTTCAAGATGTTTCAGCTATACCCCCTTGATGGCCCTCTTGGATAATTTTCAGTTTTCTCGTACTATTCTTTGGAACAGTTAATGCTGCCCAATTGCCACTTTGCCTCTGCAACTGGACCCATTAAGAACAGCTTCATATTTTACTTGGGAAATGTTTGCTGCATGTAGACCAATTTTATACGAGTGTTTCCCCACAAGACAGACCATGGTCTCGTCCCTCAGTCTGAGCCCAGTCAGAGTTTCCAAACCCTTGTATATGGGTGTTTTGTTTTTTTCCCATTCATAGACATATATTGTCTCTGCTTCATGTGTTTTTTTGCAAGGGGTTGCAGCGTGTAATGCTGGTGCGCATACAGGTTACAAACTCATTTGCCATGCAAAGTGGGGAGCACCAAGGTACACACTGTAGTTGTGCTGCATAACTAAAGTGCCTTTAGCTTTGGATGAAAGAAAGGCAAAGTGTGAACCCTACCTCATCCGCAGTTACCCTCTGGTTTTCAATTTGATTCAACCCCTGATTCATCTCTTGTCTGTATAAACAAATCAATGAGTTTAAAGAAAGTTACCCCTGGATAATTGATCCTGTAAACAGCTGCTGATTACTCCGTCAGCACAGAGCTGCTTTGATGTGATTCACCGCCCCCCCCTCCATCTTCTATGTCCCCTGCCTCTCCAGCCACTTCCCAATATATTCGCTTTTCCCTGTCATCCTCCATCAGTAACCTTGTTTTGTTCTTGCCTTCTTTTTTCGTTTTAGCTCTAATAATCCATTCGCTCGCAAACACCTCCGTTCTAGCCCTAGTCCGGTCATCGTGAGGCAACAGGAGGAAGAGGCCAAGGCCAAAGAAGCAGCGGCCAACGTGGACATCACCCAGGTTATGAGCAAGCTGGATCGCAGAAGCCAGCTCAAACAGGAGGCCCCGCCTGCTAAGTAGGGAGGCCCAGATGCTGCAAAGCACGTTGCATGGGAAAGATCAAGCAGAGTCCCTGGGATGCTGGCCGCGCATGTACGGCTGCATTTCCTCCCCCTGGCCTGCAGATGCCAGTGGTGCTTCACTATTAATGAAACCCTTCTTCTTCTTCTTCTTCTTCTTCTTCTCTCTCTCTCTCTCTCTCTCTCTCTCTCTCTCTTGCCTCCATCCCTCCTTCCTTCAGCAGTGCTGTTGCCATGGCATCCAGAGCACTGTCACTTCATAAGCCCTTGCTGATAAAATCGTAGAACACAGATGGCAAAGGAGTTGCCTTGTGAGCTTCACAGTGACTCTTCCCGTATCAAATGGGCTCGTTTTACAAGCCAAGGAAACAATGTTTTCTATAAACTGCCGGCAACATCCTTCCCAGATCTAAAAATTCAAAAGTCTAGGTGCCATGGCAACTGGCTGCCTCTTCTCTCCCTGCCCGCAAGTAATGGAAGAAAGGGCCTGGGGTGTGTGTGTGTGGGGGGGAATGTGCCGTGAGACACAAGACAGAAGCTGAATCTGGTTTCCAGCTATACAGCTGGAGGTTCAACCACATTGCCTGGTTGTTGTTGTTTTACTGGAAGAGAAAAGTTCAGGGGCTGAGATGGTGTTCAGATACTGTGGAGAAAGAATAAGAATCATGGAGAATCTTATATAAAGATGTGCATCCCTGATTCATTATTACGATGGGGTTAATCACCTTACCATTCTAGTGGTGAAATATTAATCAAGAGTGGATTGTTTTCATGTTGTTTTTAGAAAAGGCCTTGTGAAATTTGTAGGGATTTAAATCAGTATTAGTGAGTGTAAGGGCCTGTCCACACTGGGAAATTTGTTGCAGTCCCGAGAACATCGGAGTGAAGGTTGGGGAGACAGAAGGGAGGTAACCATCTCCCCCTTTTCCAGCCTTTCTCCTTGGCCAGGGCTCTGCTGTCTTGTGGAGTGGAGCCAGGAAGTAACATAGCCCCCTTCCCTGTCTTTTCTCTTAGACCTCATTCAAGAGGCTGTTTTTAGTTTGTTAAAAAAAGCAAGTGGCATATCAAAATGGCAACGCATCAACCTGGCATGGCTGTAGAATTTTACTTTGTTGGTAAGGAAAACATCAAAAAGAAAAGAAGATGAATATAGAGGAGGAGGTTTCTCTACCCTCTCTTTTAATGCCACAACCCACCTAACACACCGCAGGGTTGTCTCCTCAGTGTCATTTTGGTGAAAGTACCCGTAGGCTAAACAAAGCTGTATGCCAGAGTGGACAGGTTCTTAGTTTGGAACTAAGGGTTGCTCTTGGTCCTGGTTAATAAATATGCAATATATGACGTACATTTCAAATGCTCTGAACAATTTAAGGCATATGCTAATGTGTTTAAGAGTGTTATGAGTATCAGCCAGCACAGGTATAACAAGAGGAGTGTCAGGTGTCCAGATTCAAATGTCGATTGTTTTTAAGGGAATACTTATAAAGCTGATTAGAGTTCATCAGGAACCACCTAGTTTTCTATTAAAGATATACTAACAACTGAAGAACATTTTCCCCAGCTAATTCCTAGTCCCAAATGTTCTTTGCTTTTTATTGTGGAAACATGGCCAGTCATCTCTTAGAAGGGCAGGTCTGAGACATGTTGTTACCTGAGGAGGGGTAACAAAAGCATGTTACTTCAAAGCAAAGAGAACCCAAAGCCAGCCATGTTGTTTTGGTTCATGAGGCAAAAAATCCTATAAGCGCATTTTCCACATTGCTGGTAATAAAACAACAATTTGCATCCCTCTTCCAATTGTGAGAATCCACTTCCTGAGGTGAGGTAGCCACACCATTCTACCTCATTATAGGGCTGGCCCTGTTTCTTACAAGGAAGCATACTGCTCCTGGAGTGCAAAGGAGAGAGATCCATATAGGAAGGATGTGTAAGGCCTGTTCTTATGAGCAGTTGTGTGGTGATTTATTAAAACAACTTGTGCAGGGTATAGCATGTTACATGATTGTCTTATCCCAGGCTACCCTAGTTCTACTGAGCTCCTGTGAGAATAGATGCTGAAAATAGACCTGTCAATGTAAATACAGTGGTGGCTAATCCATTAGGACAAGTGGAGCACTCCCCCACCAAGCTTGGGCTAACTCAACTTAGTCCTACCTGTCTCTTTACATAGAGTTAATTCATGGGGTGGCATTGGCTGTTATGCTTCACTTCAGTCTTGTGTTTGTGGAACTCAAGGATATTTGATCAAGTCCCTCCCTACGAAGATTGACAGGCCCACCTAAGTCAGAATCTAATTCTATGAATTATGCCTGCATAGAGTGATGTTGTCAACAGTTAGAAGATATTTTAGTCATTAAGGACATCCTGCTTCTATCTCATAGCTTCTCAGACATGTGGGTAATCAGTCTCATTGCCAGCCAATCAAGCTATGGTATAGAAGCAGGAAGTATTTTACTGAAAATCTCCCTTCCTTGGGTAACATCATCATGTTTCTTAGCTGATAGAGGAGCAGTGCAGAATAAGGGAGAAGCAGGGGATGGGTGCTAAGGTTTGGCTAGACCAGTTGATGGCTGAAATCCTGTTGCACTGTTTTGCAGAAGACATAACATTTGGAGGCAAATTGCAATAAGTTCTTTCCATATGCATGATTTGGCTCAAAAAGTATTCAAAATATTCCAGGAACAATGATTGGAATTAATGAGCATTTAAGTTCTCACTAGGTTCTTGCCACCCAATTTGTTTTTCTGTCAGGCTGGTTCAGCTACATAATTTCTATCTTTGTCATCTGATGCATCTGTTTGAACATTCTTGAAGTTCTATCCTCTTTAGCACTCCATTTCATCAACTCTCTCAAAGTTATCAGACAACTTTGGGTATCCCTGGGATAGCAGCAAAATTAGAAAAACACTGCCAAAAGATCATGGGAAAATCACAAGAATGTGATCTTAAAACAGTTAGAAGTGATCTTCTATTAGATCAAAGAAGCCTAAATGTAGCCCAGGAACATTGCTAGAATTTCAAGCAGAAATCCTTAAAAATCTCAAGTTTGAAAATGCAACAATGTCTATTATTCCTTTAAAAACTCAAAAAACAGCATAACTGTAAACTTGTTGTTAACCTCTAGTGCTGTCCTGTCTTCCTAATCTGCTATTTTTACAACAGCAAAAGTTGATGTACATATGCTATCATTGCTTGTCATTTTTTGGTAAATGTCCAAGACAGTTTGGGCTTCACTGTCTTGTTAACAAGAAGCAGGAGACTTCCACTGGAATTTCCAAATGCTGCTCTATTTTTCCCCCCACCCAGATTTGTCATGTTTTTGTTTCCTTTATTTTCTCTGGTCAAATAAAACTAGAAATGACACCATCATTCTGCTTGTCTGTCATGTTGTTACCTGTTTTCCATATGTCTTTATTTCATTCATGTTTTTGCCTTTATCCTTTTGGTTTGTATCACTTTTCATCTTCAAAATATTGGTGACAATGTACACTTCTCCCTTGAATGGCACAGGTCTGAACAGCACAATTCTGGTTATACATGGATTTTTAAAAATAAATATATATTAAATAAATATTGTGCCTCTAGTCATCCAGAACTCCATGGATTCAACACAGAAGGTGTCAAAGTGGTCTACTTGCCCCCAAACACTACATTTCTATTTCAGCTTCTAGACCAGGGGGACATAAGGATCTTTAAGGCTCATTACACATTACTGTATGGGAAAGATTGTCAACACTATGGAAGAGAACCCCAATAGAGGGAACTGTTCTGTGTGTGTTAATCAGCTGTTTATGCTTTGTACTTACCTTTTGGGGGCCATAAAAATTTTACACAGATTTTTAGCTACACTGTGGTCTGGCCCAGTGTTGTTGAAGAGAGAAGTGTATATTTAAAAACTGATAAGTGAAATGCTTCAGGAAAACTAGGAAAAGCATGGTTTTAAGTGAGTGCCAAATTAAGTCACAACAAGAACAACAACAGTATTGTGGCACCTTTGAAGCCAACAAATTTATTTCAGTGTGAGATTTTATGGATTGCAATCCACCTTCACATACATAGGGTGCTTCATGTGTCTGAAGAAGTAGGTTAAGATTCAGCTCATACTGAAATCAATTAATTAGTTTAAAATATGCCACAATACATTTTGTTATTGCTGAATGAGACCAATGTTGCCATGTCCTCAAATCATGTGACCATCTACTTGTTGCGTCAACCTTAAGTCTTGCTTACATGCCTAGATGATCTGGTGGCATCTTGTAAAAGTGATGGTTTAACTAGGTTCACTGGCCGGCTATAAGTGCAACAATAACAGTGGGTAATAATTTCTAGACACTTATCGTTTAAACCCTGATCTTAAGTACTCAATTCCATATCCTATTCACTTATACTTAGAAGTAAGTCTTACCTCTAAATGTGCATAAATATTCATGCTCTTGTGGGGGGACAAGCAGACGTTAAGCATCACTGCATGCTTGTCTACCTCACTGTTCTACAGCATGCATAGAAATCAGGCTTGTAGAGAACTTATTTAAAACACAAGGTGTAAATGTCACCACATTATTATTACAAAAGATAAACTACTATTGTCAGCTTTCAAAAACTGAACTCTGTGTCTGTGGAATGCTAGCCTAAACATTTATACTACAGTAAAAATAAGAAAAATGAGGGATTCAAACAATATTTTTTAAAAAACTGGGATTTTTTAAAAGCTTAGTTAGAAGTCTTATTGAACATTAGGTGATTCCTAATGAAATAATTTTAAAAAAAGACATACCTCAGTTCTGTTTGGAGAGGAGTCCTAAAGATGAGATGCCACCATTGACAGCACCCTCTCTCCAGAACGAACCTGCCTTGTCTCACCAGAACATGGAAACCAGAGAAGTGTCTTTAAAGAAGATCATCATGGACAGCTAGGGCAGTCTGAACCACTGTCCAGTACTG